CTGCAGTTCCATGACAATTAAGAAGAGTCTTCCTATTGCTGGATCATCCAACAATATCAGCTTCTCTCCAAAAGGGATTATCTTTTTGACTAAGGCATGTAGTTTTGTTCCTAGCAGTTCACTCAAGACTCTTTGGGCAAGAAAATGGGAGTGGCGATTAATCTTTACCTAACAAGACTCTTCTTGCCCCTCGAAAGTCCCTGTTAATAGTGTGTTTCTCCAGCCTTCCAGAGAGGAGAAATCCATGATGTATCCAGACTAGATATCAATGCTGCTTGCTGATGGCAGAAAGTCACATCTATTCTTTCCAGGGATGGCAAGAAGGTGACAGAGTTGTTCCTATATAGGGCACGTGGACTTGTTAAACCCATGGAGAGAAGTGATGACCAATGGAGCAAACAGAAAAACCCACCGGGCTTTCATTCTGGGAAATGCCTAAAAGGACAGTACTTTGCTCTCCTGAGCTAAAATTCAGTCACCTCTGATACAGTCTCCAGTTTGATACATGATTAGCAATTATGGGGGGAAAATGGAAAGGGCAATCTTTCACGCGTAGCTTCGTTTTACCACCAGTTGTGACTGGAGTGACTGGAATCGGTGACTATGTCAGGATGTGCATTTGCATTTCCCTTCTCAAAATTGAGTTGCGTGGTTCTTGTGGTAATCCAAGAAGAGGAAAGTATCAGGGCAGACCATAGAGAGGCAGATGGTACAGCTTCCACCTGGAGTCACTGAGACAGAGCCTGTCATTAAGTTGTGGCCACTGCACCCGCAGAGCTTATGCTGATGCCAAAGTGAAAAGGAAGAGGTGGCCACAAGTTTCTGAATATTTGGATAAGTCAAGATCCAAGGCAAAGATAACAAAAAAAAGTTGAATTAATGTGTTGTGAATATCCAAGTGGAAAATGAATGAGGTCAGAAGACGTCAAAGAACAATACGTCTGAGCATAGGAAGTGGCCAAGACAAAAACACGGAACTATTAAAAAGAAATGTGGGCTAACTATGAAAGGTCCAGTCAAACACATGACAGCAGAACCACAGAAAGTCAGACGGTTTGAAGTTACCTATCCCACAAATTACCAAACAACCCCTTCGTGCAATTCTGTATTGGCAGCTTGAGTTTATACTGGGTCAGTGTTTTGAATCACTAGACCATGAAGTTTTTTGCAGGTACGGGACCCGCCAAGTTCAGCGCGGGGAAGCAAGAGATCAACTCATTATGAGAGGTCACCAAACAGGGATTTCAACCAGGTATCAAACAGGTTAACATTCACTCGTATTCTATTCATGTGTTCTTTTAGCCAATCCAACCTTTTATGGATCGACTCACTATGATCTGACAAATTAAAACAGCACATTCCTTCAAAGTCCTCACAACCGTGTCCTTGGGCCAGCAGCAAGAAATCAATGGCTGCCCGATTCTGCAACACTGAGTGTCGTAGACTATCCATATCATCCATCATTTGAGAGAGGATGTCGGTAGTCACGTTGAACTGTTTCACAGTCCAGCATGCCAACTTTTCTATTTGTGCCAGTGCCTGTGTGGCTGCCACCCCTGGTGTGAAGAAGGAGGCAAATATTCGCGCGGTTGCTGACCATAATTCAACATCATCTTTACAGTCAGACCATGAGTCAGTACAGTTAGACCGTGAGTGTCTCTTTTTGTTCTACTGGACATCGTCTTGGAGATATTCAGCCAATCCTGGTGGCGAGGTGCAAATAATCCCACTCGACCAAGGTAGCAGGGACCTCCGTATGCATTCGCCGGTATCCCCTGCCATGCTCAGTCTCTGCAAATCAAGAACATGCCCAGGGGAAGGGCCTTCGCAGTCCCATTGTTCCACAGGCTCTCGTTATGTGTGACACTTTTCCTTGCCTTATAACTGGCCCCATAGGCCCCCAGAGATCGGTTCCCATTATACCCACTGTAGGGTCCCCAAATATAGAAATCCCTCTTGTTCAGTGAAACTACGGTCCAGCCCGTTTCGTTGTGAAAGGACTCCACTGGCGATCACTGACACCCAAGAGTTTTGCAAGTACGGTGCCTGCCCCGGCTAATCCTTGAAACCTGTCTCCAAACACTACGCAAGTTTGAGTCCGGTTGTGGCTCTTGTTTCTCACTGCTTGAGACCCCAGGAGACCCCAAGGTAGGGTCGTGTTAAGATTCCTGATTAAGTGGGCAGTGCACCGTGAGGTATTCTCATAGCCGGTACATCTGTAATTCGTCACAAAACCCTTAAAATCTGTTATCTCATATCCTGGCATTCCTACTAGGCATGTCTTAAATGGCTCCCTTGTTGATTGTAAGCTCAAGCAGAAATCTTTTTGGCCGGTTCGATTGGCCACGTGACCCACACATTTTGACTATGTTTTACCCTTATTATTTCTTGGGCCGTCAGAATTGCCAGCAACATTACCATCAGGATCCTGCACCACCACTTTGGTCCATCTGACGGATGGCAGGTTGCAGCATCCATAGTAAGTCAAATAGTCGCTCGTTTTGTATATCTCTAATTTGGGCATCTTCTATGCGCGCCACTAGTCCGGCCACATATAACGAGTCTGTGACCACATTCAAGGGCGTTGTCATCCATTCCAGGAAGGCTCACACAACGGCCGATAGTTCCAATGTTTTTAGAATATCTCCCAATGTGGCTGGGAGAATCTTATGCTTCCATTCCCCATTTTCTTGCCATGTTACCACTGCTTGTTGGGATCTATGGCCAGCATCCGTAAATACTGTAATAGCGTTCTGAAGAGGTTGTTCGCTGTATTTTGGTGGTGCTATCCATTCCTGTTGGGCCATCCACTTCTATACTGGTGATGCTAGGGAGCGTACATCAATTCTGGTTGCTGATGTTAGCAAGCTGAGTTGTAATTCGGGAGACTGCTGGATGTACCATTCCAAATCTTCCCACTTAATCGGCAGGTATATTACTCCTGGTTCTTCTCACGATATTTGAAGAATCCGTCATCGCCCCTTTTTGATCAATTCTGTTAAATTGACTGTTTTTTGTTGAATTGTAGTTTTTGGCTGTACTGAAGTAAACAGCCACTCCAAAATCCTTGTTCCCTCCCCCCTTTTTCTTTTTGCACTGTGTCAGTGCACCTATGAGTTGCTTCTCTCCTTGTAATAGAGTCAAGTCTATGGGGAGGTCAGGATCACGCCGTTCCACAAAATCATTGAGTAATTGCATCACTTATCCGTTGTATTATTGCTCGTTGTTCAGGGGAGACAGATACTTTGGTCATTGGGTCAGTGCCCTTAAGTAATGGTCACAATGGTTATAAGTCTTCGTTGGTAAAGCCGATAATTGGTCGCAACCATTGTAGATTTCCTAAAAGTATTTGTGCATCATTTAACATTCTTGTGTCCATATGCAACATCAGTTTCTGAGGTCTAATTTGCGACTCAGAGATCTGCCATCCCAAGTATTTCCAAGGTGACTGCCGTTGTACCTTTTCCGTAGCTGTCGGTAACCATTGTCGAAGGTGGCAGTAAAGACTGGTTGATGGCTCATAGGTAACGTTAATAGTACCAAACCCCCAGTTGATCGAAATCCTTGACTGTCGTGTTCTCATTCCGACGCGGTTTGCAGGTCTGCTGTAAGTACAGGTACAGGGACTAGTAGAGCAATCTTGCTTCCCTTCAGGATGTGGATGGGCGGGAAGCTTGTTTGGGCCACAATTTGTGCTATTCCATTGTAGTCCACATCAATAACTCCTGGTAGCACAAAGAGTCCCTTTAATCCGCTAGAGGATCGTCCAAACAACAATGCTCCTTGCGGTCTTCCGTTGATAAGCAGTGGTCCTTTAAAAGTTGTCGGTATTTTTAATGGCCACAGATCTATTAAAGTCACTTCTACTGCGGTTTCCAAATCCCGTCCGAGGCTCTCCCTTGTGGCTGGTTGTAGTTGTTGTGGTCTGGCGGCGTCTGACTGTAGGCGGGCTGCATCGCAGGCAGGGCAGTTGTTGGGATCGTGGGCGGCACCATCTCGTGGTGGGCCGGTGGAGTGGGGTTGGAGTACTGCACGGGAGCGGCTGCTGTTGTCGGTGCGTGCTCCTCACGCTCTGCTGTCCGTTTCCTGAGGCTCAACAGGCTGGTGTACTGTGGGTTCCTGAATTGCAGTTCTGGCACCATACCTTGGCCCTACACTCACGCCTCATATGACCTTCCTTCCCACACCTAAAACACTTCATTCCTTTCCCTCCCTGTGATCCTTTTCTGCCAGTCTCCCTTGGAGGATTAAGGGGAGCCCATGCCGCAAAGACTTGACTCTGCGCCTGGACCAGGTCTTTTCCCAATTCTCGGACCGATTTACTGTGGCCCTCAGCTGGGATAGTAGTTTCCAATCAAGCGGGGTGTGAGCTCCCTGCAGACCCACAGCCCCTTGCCCATAGGTTACTGGGAAAGCCCGATCAGCAAGCAGGCTCAGCAATTCAAAGTCCTGAGCGTCTGCTGCCTCCCTGGCTATCGCCTGCCAATTCACCCTTTCTATCCCCTGTGGGGAGGGCCTTGGCCTTTTTTTTTTTTTTTTTTTTTTTTTTTTTTTATCATCATCTATAGCTAGATCCCACAAGCACTCCCCATAAGCTCTCCATTCTTCCACATCAAAGTATGATTCAGGGTTACCAAAAAACCCGTTTGCTACCCCAAAGGCTATAAGCTCTGGAATATGCTTAACTCCTTCTACCCCTCCCTTTTCTAAAAAGTGTTGCAATAAGTTGAGGGCTACCTCCTTATCCATAGCGCCGGCCTTTTCTCTGCGTCTGTCTGCACCGCGTCTGCCTGTGATTTGTGCAGCTCCGTGTCTAACCACGCTGGTAGCCCTGCAGACCCCTTTTTGGTCGGTCTAGGCAATCTTCTGCCCTCCAATTTGCTGCTAATCGGTGCTTGTCCTCACCGTGCTTCTCGGTTCCATGGGTTCCTGTTCGGGTGCCACTTGTGGGTACGGGACTCGCTGAGTTCGGCACGGGGAAGCAAGAGATCAACTCAATATGAGTGGTAGTACAAGCTTCAACTTTATTGCGCAGATATCCGTATATTTATACACACAGCAATAATTATGCCTACTGGTCACTATCCTTATTGGCTAAGCCTAGAAGTGTTGCAAAAAATACTGTTCCTCCTACTTGCGGTTATAGCGCATAAGCTACTTCCTTATCTTCCCAGGCCTCAGTTCTGCCTAAGTTGTTTATCTCTCTCTCAAGGACAGACTTCTCCTTGCATATTTCACATGAGTGCTTCTCATCCAGCCTACTCCATGACTATAAACTCTGTATTCTCATTGCCTTGCTTGAACAATTCCTCTAGGGACCCGTGCCCTTGCTCTTTGAGCCATTCTTCAACAGTTTTTGTTTTGGTACCAGATGCCTTAAAATTTGAATTACAGTTTCATAGCCCACAGTCCAGGGAATGTGCTGTGTGCTACTGAAAATTACAGACCAGTTTATCTAAAAGAGGAAGTTTATACAAGAATATCGTATTTGTGAATAATCTTTTCTAGCTGACTGAAGCTGTTTATTTTTCCAGCAACCTGTTTACTAAAAATTCCATTTGCACAAATGTATTGTTTCAGATCACCTGTGTTGGTAGACAATTCAAAGACCTCTGAGAATAAATTCTTCAAAAGTCTTTGAGGAATTGATTACAAAAATCTGATGTGTACTTGAATAATGTACTCAAGACTCAGCCACCTACTTAAACTTTAGCATTATCTGAATTCACAAATCCCTAGCAATTACTTGTTTCAGATCAGTTACACAACAGTTTCTCAAGTAGCATAATTTGTAACAGAACACAGCACCAGCAGTTCCTATTTATTTCAGTGAGTTGTGTAATTCAACAGCTCAGAAGATTAGACTAGCTATGTTTAAAAACGGTCATGCTAGCCGCTTCATGCACTTTTCAATTTTCATTGGAAGTTCATATTAAGCAAAGAAGATCAGAAATTCATTTAAAAGATTTTGTTAAACCTTTGGTTCCTTTAATATTTTGGTATTTCTGTCTTACGCATTTCTCCCTGAGATAACACACAACTGTCTTTAGTCATTTGTTCCTATGGAGTGTTTTTTTTCTTCTCAGCATTTAATTCTTGCAGTTCTTGTTAGAACAGGTAAAAGAAAATACCAAATGCATAACATAAATAGGTTTTTGTGTTTGGGCTATGGTCTATTCTATTTTTATCCAAATATTTTTATTTTATTTTTTAATCTTTGTCTACCGCCTAATTTATATTGTTTCCATTTACCTGTGTATATCCATCATGTTCCCGTTCTCTTCAAGAAAAGAGCTTGAAGAGCTTCAGGCTCTCCTGTTCTTCTTCAAGAAAATAAAAATCACATTACCTCAGTCTGTACTTGAAGTAAAAACATCCAGATCAGTGGCTCTTACATGCGTCTTCCTCACTATTGCTGTAGCTATTGCTGGTGGTGGTAGCAGAAGTTGCTGCAGCAACAGCTTTCAGTATTGGCCAGGAAAATGTGTTGACTACTCAGTAATTATTTAGGCAACACTTTGCTACAGCACATGTGTAAGAGAATTTGGGAATCTTGGTCTAGGTCATCTTCAGTCCAACGTGGTGTACAAGAGCATCTCTCCTTTTTTGAGAACCTCAAAAAGCTGAATCTTGATCACAGCATTTCTCTTTTAGATTTGGGTTCCTGTCTGTCACCTGTGAGAAGGAGGAAGACAATCTTAAGTGACACTGAATACATGTGCTTAAATGCTTACTGAATTCATTTAATGTTCTAAGAGAAAGTTCTTCCCCCACGTGATATGTTAAAAGTAACTTGGTTTGATATGAATATACGCATTTTGTTTAACCCAAAGAAGCAGTAGCCCTCATTTTATACATTTTCTTTTGAAATCTACTGTGCATTTAACTCAGAGTACAGTAAAGAAAAAAATGTTCTTCACTGATGCAGTTCTTTTAGAATTTTCTTACATTTCTTGCAAACTGAGGTAAAGAACCTTAAAAAGTACTCCATCTTTTAGCTTTATGCTTACTGTTAGAACTAAATATGAAAAAGCCAGCGTATCTTTTTTTTTTGCAAAAAATCTATTGACCATTTTACAATAATTGTACTCTACATTTTTTAAACTAATTTTGCAAAGAGCTACCCAGTGATATACTGTGCCCTTATATAACAGCTGAAACATTTTCTTGTACTTTGTCTTGTACTGAACTCATGCTGAAGTTGTTAGCATTCTGCTATACAATGGTTGCAATAACAACTCACCTTCTTTTTGAGTTGGTTGCCTTTTACTGAGCTTTGTTATTCCACATATGCTCTTCTGCTGGAACCTTTTATATCAGAAAGCCTTTGAAGAGTGGGAGTAGCTCATTAAATTTATCTGGAAGTGGTGTGGTTTCTTTTACAGTTGGCTTTTACTGCTCACGTAGTTTTATTTTCAGGTAGTAAGTGCTATGAATTTTTCAGATTTTCATGAAAAGGAAAGACATACTATCCAGCAATTTCCAACACAGTATCAACTTCCATTTCATTCAACATTGTCCTTCTTTTAATGTCTTTTCAAAAGTTAGAAAATGCAGTTTATATAATTATGTGTTTTCTAGTATTTTTGGAAACTTTATTCGACACTAAGTATCAGAATCCTCTTTATCCTGTAACAAGTTCTAAAAAGTTCTTTACACAAAGCCACTGATATTCTTACTGGTTCTATATTCACGTATTTTTAGAGTCATATCATATACTCTACTGAACATGCCATTTTTCTGCTGAGTTCATTTCTCTCGTGACACATAACAGGGAAGTATGGAAGCTCCTTTTTTTTAAACTTAACATCTTACCCTTTGAAAAAGCATCTGTTAGTTCCAAGCACATGCACATGAATTCCTTAGGTTTGTTGTTCTTTGTTTTGCCAGTTATTTATTATTTTCTATCATTCAAAATACTTTGGACTCAGTTCTCTGAAATATAAGCAAGGATGATGAAAGAGCACACTAGCATAAAGACTGAAAAGACAATGAAATTACTTGAAGTCACAGAATAAGAGATTATTTATATGTATTTGTGCATTTATATTGTTCTTTGTGATGTTTCATTCTCAAAATATAACACAATCTTTCTAGTCAGAACAATTGTTCTCCCAAATAATGAAAGCTACTGATTTTGAGATGCTGTAGAGAAGTGAAGAAAACTCGAACCAAACAACAAGCTGATCTTTTCTGATAGTTTTTGTTAACGTAGAACATTTTTTGTTACAATACTGGAGGAGCACAGTAAAGCCGTAACAGCATCAACTCTCGGAGTACCCTGAAGTCAGAGCACAGTTGCAGGCAGCAGCGACAGGCACGTTAACCAGCCCATGGGAATGCAGCACAAGCTACAACAATTAAACACAACCCAAGGCGCACACTCCTGCTCTCAGTTGCTTAAGCAAACCAGCAGGACTGCTTTCAGCCACGGAGCTGAACGGCTGCACAGCGCAGCACAGCACGCAGCACTCCCCAACCCGCCATCGGAGTAAACGCACTCCCACCGAGCACACCCACTGAATGCAGCGCTCCCAAGCCTCTCTCCAGCTTCCATTTAATGTTTAAATCTTCCTTGCTGATTTATAATCGCTTATCAAACGCTACATTTCACGAGCAGGAGGATTGCAGTTCCTGTCATCCCTGATCTATGCTAGTCCCATGCCATTCATAGAACCACTGAATGCTTTGGGTTGGAAGGGAACTTCAAGACCATCTGATTCCAAGCCCCTGCCATGGGCAGGGACACCTCCCACCACACCAGGCTGCTCAAAGCCCTGGGGGCTGCCCCATGACTGGTAAGGCTGGTGCTACCCACAGGGTAGTTAACCATGCCTTGCTGAACAGGTTCTGTAAGAGAAGATGAAGATGCAAATAAGTGGAAATACCTTTTACATTTCCCCTAAATTAATTAGCATGCTAATGGGTTGAATGCTGTGCTTTGCACTTTTACTCCCACGGGTCTTTGCAGATTATGAAAAGCAATAGTTAATCCTTCAAAATGACATGAAATTAAAATATTTGTCCCAATTCCATATTTAGTTGCATCATCCTATGGAGTTGAACTGAAAGCTTAACTCTCGATTCCTTACAGCAGAAATCTGTAGCACAGCATACAAACATAATGCTTAATCCTTCATTTGGTTCTTCAGGTTTTTGCTGCATCTTCTATAGCCGTCCTTCCTGTGATGTTTCTATGATGTGTGAGAAATAATTCTCCCCCAAAATAAAATCTACTAATCTAATTCTGTAGGGAACCTACATTGCCATTGCCATTTTCAACTACATACATAAACATGCTAAAACATTAGGTTCTTAGCTTCCTGGTCTCGATGTACTTCCCTTAGAAGGGCTGCTGCTTTGCTTTCCTCTGCCTCGTGGACCACTTATACCACTTTCCTTACCTCTTGGGTTCCTGGGTGTCAATGAAGCTCTAGGAAACATCTATGTTAGCAGATCTGCAGAAGGCTACAGTCAATGACCTGCTGGTAACAGGAACAACACTGGGAACATGGAAGGATAACACAGTGAAGGATGGTTACTGAGTGATTCTGGGATGATACCGGCTGAGGATTTGGTTGTCCTGTGAATATATGGTGGGTATGAGTGGGGACAAAAAGTTGGTAGGAGATAAAATGATCTAAGGAGATGGACATCCTCCAGCAGTGAAGGGTGCCAAATTCAGAGGAAGACACAAAGAAACTCACTCAACAGATGATACTACTCTCATCCTCACAGCTTGCTTTCTCCCACTGCCCACTAGAGAAGGAACAGCAGCTTTCGTGAGCTGGAGAATGCAGGGAGACTTTATGGAGCTGGGGTTGCCAGTCTGTGATACACAGGGGAAACAAGGAAAAGGAAGAATCCAGGACTGGCTTGGAATCTCCCTATCTTACCTTGTGACTCACCTGCAAGTTGCCTTGATCTCTCTGTTGCAGAGACTGCTTCAAAAGATGAAAACCACCAGTTTAGAAGGTAAATTTAGAAGGGCTTTTAGCAGTGAAGACAACAGGGAGTGTTGCCACCAGAGGTACTTGCTATCACATGTTGATCAAGGGAACAACTGAAGCTGTAGAAAGGCTACCAGGGAAGTGTTTGGCTATATCTGAAATTGTCCAAAAGATGGCCAAAGCATCTGATTATGCTGCACTCTAGAGAAGTTCATGTTATTACTAATATAACGACTCCTATATCCCAATGCCGCGTTTGTCATTCTAATAGGCATTAAATACAAAATCCATTGACGGATACTGTTCATCGTGACTCCTGCTCAACTCACAAACACTGTATCACTGGAATGCCTCTTCCATACAACTTTTAAAATAAAATGTTCTCTAGTTATGAATTTGATGTTCAGTTCTCAAAGTATAATAGGTTCTAGCTGATTTCCGCTGCATTTGTTTCCATATGCCAGTAAATCTCCCGATCTTTAAAAAGAAATTACAATTTCCTTTTCTTTTTTTTTTCTTCCACATACCCAGTCTTTGCATCACTCTTTCACTAGCAGACATGTTGCCTCCATGATTTGTTGGCAAATGGACTTTGTCTCTTTCACTGAATATTTACAGAGGGCCGAATCTCTGATTTCCTCACAGGACCAGTAATCAGTACTATATGTGAAGTAAACGCAATAAAATACCAAGTTTAAAAAAAGTACACGTACTCTGGCAAATGCTTGTTTCTCTTTAGTGTCTGTTTCCTATCATGAATTTTGACTCTGTGGGCCAGAAATGTACGCAAATCTTCTTGTCTCTTCTGAAGTTTATTTATATATTGCGACTGGATGAACACCCATTTCTTTGTATCTTTCTGTCATGCAAGAGTCTGTTTCTCAGCAATAAATTAACATGGAGATATGAATTACTGGCAACCCTTAAATTCTGTAACAAAACTGAAATTGCAGAATACAGCTATCCACAGTGTGGAAGCAAGAAAAATTACAGTATTCTTTTCACTGAATGTGAACTCTGGGTTTTCATCCTTGTAAAAATAAATTTATAGTGACAAAAAACAACACCTTCACCACTATGCCTTCTCCCCCCTAAACACATGCACACAAAATCTGAAGTACTGAATTTGGAGTGAAAGAAATAACTTGTATCACTAACAAGATTGTCAGGGGCTGAGACAACATCTTACAAAGGCAGTCCATACATAACTCTGATACTTGAGCAAGAACTTATTAAGGCACTGTTTGCCTTTGAAGGCTCCATGATGATAATCCTTTCTAAAAAGATTTGATTTATAAAATTTGCCTAGTTTACTAAACAAACCTCAAATGATGTAATTTTGACATTCATTTCTCAGCATTAACCTTTTTCTGTCCTCAAGAATGAAAACTATATCACAGCCTCTAACACTTCCTGCTTGTGCTGTTACATCCATTGCAGAGTTTTTTTGTGGAATTCCAATCTGATATTTTAATATTTTTCTTTTGCCTAGTTTCTTTGAAACCATCTTTGCTAACATCATGGAAATTAGTAAGTATAGTTAGGCAGAGACTCCTACCCGAATAACAGAACAGCAGAAAACACCCAAATCAAAAACAGTTTGTGGCAGGCTTCTTGCTAAAAGAAAACAGAATAGCTTCAGAATTCTCATTACAGTCCACAAAGCAGTACTTTCCTTTTGGCCAATAAAGTTTTACATCTTTTTGCCAGTGCTGAACTTTGCTTTGAATGTAACATGTATTTCCCTGATGCTTTGGATGAAAGCAAAACCTGCTGCAGCTTAACTACATTGTTTTGAGTTTTGATACAGAGCAAGCATGGACACACACAATATTCCATTACCTTGTATCCTTCTCATTGCAATGGTAAAAGCAGAGGGAAGAGGCTAGTTTCTTTCTTTCCATTCCATACTTTGCTGCTGTTTCCATCTTCCATAAGAGGCTCTTACAAACTGTCCCACCTACCTTACTAAGACTTTGCTCAAACATGGCTCCTGAATGCCTTCATTTTCTTACGTCAGCTGGTTTCCATATGACTGCTGCACAAGGGAGCCTGTGTATTATCTGAAGTGAGTTATCTAAAATAAATCTAGCATTTCCTCCTGACTGTGGCAGAATCAAAATAAGCTGCTAGATGATTTTCTGGGAGGGAGAATATTTTCCCCTGGGACTTCAGGGATATAGGAGACATACCATTACCAAAGTTCTAGGGATATGAAATAACACAAAGCATTATGTAGTAAAAAGATCTCATTGGCAGAACATACTTTGAAACATTACACTCAAAATATACGGTGATCTCGAACAGTGGGTCATTGCTATCCGGTGCTTAGGCTCAGGTCCTTCAAGACTCTGCCAGTGCTAAAAGTCACACTGAAATCTCACAGTCATTAAAGACGATGTTCTCTTAAAGCTGTTGGCTACAATATGTCACTAAACACACTTTTTTTTTTTCTTCCAAAATTAAAGACACATTATTTGCTGGAACAAAGAAAGGAATGAATCTATATCAAGCCAAAGGAGCCTGTTCTTAATTTTAAAATAATTTATATAGCTTAGACTAATAAAAATAATAAAAAAAGTTTTAGAACAGATATACCTTAAACATTAGACTGCTTTGCAAAAAAGCTGTTTCTTATTCTGAGCATTTTTCTCAGTAACCTAAATATAAACGAGCAAATAGGAAAACATCTCTAAAAAGGGTCAATCATAGAAGTTAGTCTATTATGTTTTCCTTCCCCATTAAATCCTATTAAGTCCTGCTATTTTTGTTGGTTTATGGGTGTCATCAATTTTAATTACTATTGCTTTTTGTTTCTGCTGAGTTTGAGTATCTATAATCTATCCCTTTTGTTTTCTCTTACCAAATAAGTGAAGAAACTAACTTAATTTTGCTACAGTATATTTGTCATACACTTGCATTTCTCTATATAATGAAAAGGAAATTAAAATGAATTTAAAATTAAATGGAAATGTGTAGAAAAAGATAGCGTTGCAGAAACTGAAGCAGGCTAACCATAAACTTAGCTAACAGTCTAACTACAAAACTTACCATAAAAAAAAAAAAAAAGCAAAGCACGGGAATAAACATAAAAAGCTAAACAAAGAGAAAAAAAAAACCCTGTTCTCTTATTGAGACAGGCAATCACACTTACACTCTTACGTTTCACAATATTTACACACCTAGAATACAGTTTGAGGCTGTGTTGACCTTGGCTTGTGACTTTGCTGTTCCTAAGTGCCATATAATAGGATAGGAGGTATCAAAATTCTGCTCCAGTGGCTCCTTGCTACCTGAAATTGGTAACTGCAGAGGAGAATAAACTGTACTGACCTACTGTAGACTTTTTTTTTTATTTTAAATTGCTGAACTGCTCAAAGAAGCAAACCAGAGGTTTGAAACCCTAGTTGGAATTGGAGATTTTTAAAAAAATATCTTTAATAAATGCTAAATGTTGACAAATACTATGGCATGCCAATTTCTAAACTTGTAGTGTACTTCAATTTTTAGCTTAAGCAACTAAATGTAAAGAGGAGTGTGAATGTAAAGAGGACAGATATCCTGATATCTGCTTGGCACAATCTCTGCTCCCCTTGGTGTTCCTTTGTTTTGGCTTGTTTTGTTTTAAACTGGAAGAACTCTGCAAATGGGTGTTCCCAGCTTCTGGCAGCCATATGTGCTGCCTACCATCTGTTTTCATTCCACTGTGCTATGGAGACAAACATACTTTATATTTAGTGTTCTACATTTCCTGATATTGCACATAATGCGGTTTAGACATAAAATATAACCCCCATTATGTGAAAAATGCGCTGTGGATAACTGATGAGTAAAGGTGACAGATTATCACGAAGGATCAGATGAGATAATTTTTACTTATATCTTAGCACAAATACATAATTATGTACAGATTGTTTGCTTGGTTTCTGTACTCTGTGTTTTCTCTCTATGCTGCCTACAAGGAACTTCCTTCATATGTTTCAAACATTTTTTTTTTCTTTTTTCCTTCCCCCATCAGGTTCCTGGGGTGTAGGAAATTACTCCTATGATTTCTTGTGTTGCCACTAGTGGTTGCTGTTCTGCATGCAGCATTCAGATCAAACCAGGATATGAACAAAAAGTTTGGTTTTGAAAGTTGGTTTTGTTTTCTATTTTCTTCCAACATAGTACATAGATTAATATATAACACTTTTTTTGGGGTTCCTGCTCAAAATCTCTGAACTAGCATTTAGCTGAAACTAAAGCAGGAGGAGGTTTGAATGGAGACTGGTAAATTTACTTTGCATTTGTCAATTGTGGGTCGACATCCTTCCAAACAGTTCCCTGCCACTGAGTTGTTCTGGATTAAGGGAGTGATACTCTCTCTTCCTATTCCCTCCCTCATAAACTGTCAATTTGCATTCTGAGGAAAAGCATACACATCATCCTGTCACTCCTGAGCTGTTGTAACCTACTACTTTAAGACATCTGTAGTAAAACTTTGGCGTCTATGATCACTGTGCACTTGCAGTTTTCTAAGGAAACCCAAACAGTCTAATTACTTAATTTGTTGTAAAGTCAGCAAATGCTTATTTCAATGCAAATGATTTCTGACAATCATTTCAAATCAATACAGTAATTGGAAAGGTCAAAAGAAAAAGCAGGGGGAAGAGAAAAAAAAGCTTTAAAAATTCCTGGCCTTGGGATCATCATCCCTAATATTCACTTATGTTCAAATAAAACTTTAGCCATACTTTGCATTACAGTCCTATGATAGAAAATTTCCTGTATATTCCAGCCATAGCCTTCCTCAAATTCTCTGTAGAGACTGTCTAACCTAAACATTCATTCCATACTTTATTCACAGCATTGCTACATCTGGTATCTCCTGGGTGGCAGTTTTATTATATCCAATGCAAAGAAATTTAAACATTGCATAAAGAAACAGAAAATTGTATTCACTTCTGCATCAAGACAATAGCTAAAAAAAACTATTTCAACCTATACAGTTCATAAATCTGTAAAAAGGTGCATAAATTTGAATTTATATTGTAAAAGAATATGTATAATGAATATTTTTTTGTATATAAAAAACTGATGCTCTTATTCATTTTCAAATCTAAATTTCATATCACAAGCCATGACAAAATTTTAGGTACATAAGGAATATTTCTTTCAAAATTAGTTTATTTTCCTAGCATAATCATATGTCCAAACATTTCTAGGTATTAAAACAAGTTTAATACTTAGATATATAACAATATTATTTTCAGATAGCTTCAATATTTCTTATTTGAGCTTTTCTGGTTATTACATAAAATCAGATTTTTCTTTTAAAATGTCTAAGGCTTCTATTACTCTTTAAAATATTTTAAAATCATCATAACATGTCTGTTGCAATCAGAAAATGGAATTCAAACTGTTTTTCCAAGACACAGGTTATTAAAAAAAAAATAAAATAATCAGCAAGCCAACCTCAAAACTTCAAATTACAATTGCTCTGTGCTCCTACAATCACATTTTGGTTTCTAAAATCTGCTTTCCTTTCTTTAAAGTTTAAGCAAAGGTATTACTTTAATGATTCAATCTCTTAATTTGGGTGTTTTTAAAATGAAGAAGGTTTTCATTGAGATGTTTACCTACTCAACACTTCTGCAGTTTCAAGTTGGCTAAACTGATGGATTGAAACAGGAAACAAGCTGCCAACAGGACAAGCGGGAACTGCCAACCAAGTCTTCATATTGTATCCATGATTTAGTGTCTTCAAGGAATCCAAAGATGATTTATTTCACTATTTATTTCAGCTCTCAGAGGTCAGTAAGTTTTATAATTATCTCCAAGCAATTTTCTCCACATCCTGTTACGCTTTCTCTGAACAGCTGTGTGTGTTGCCATGCAGTTTCACCATCCCCTCCGTTTAGAATTGCTTCCAATGTAACTTCTGTTGCACCACAAAAATCTGAGTAGGAGCAAAGATTTTTATCTATTGGAAGAAAAAGATAAACAATTAAGAAAACCTCTGCTCCAGACAGCATATAATGTTAGAATGCTTATTAAAAAGGGTAACATTAAATGAATGTTTAAGGATCTGAGTCATAACTACTCACATTAATCTATCAGCAGCAGAAAAAAATAGTGGCAGATTTTTTGTTATTATTTGTTTATTGTTAATATTCAGAGGACTTAGTCAAGACTGAAGCCACCACATACACAAATATCTATCCTTCCTGGTAAAACACACAGGTATCTTGTATCCTCCGTGTTTTTCCTAATCCTTCCGTGTTGCAGGCAGGGTTGTGTACACTACTCAACTCGGGTTTTGTACCAGTTTTTAATACCAATTTTGATTAAACACACAGTATTTTATTGACCTTGCTGAAGACTAAGTTAGAAAATTCAATGTGCATTATGTGTAATTATTAATATCTGCCCAGTGCTCTTCCTATATACACTATTTATTTGCAATTACACTTGTGCTGCATGATATAGTTCCACACTTACCTCCTAAGAGAGCAATTTCTGTTGTGGGAGAGTATACTCTCCACTTTATTTTTCCACTTTGAAATGTCTGACTGCTTGTCCTAATTGAAACGTTTTCTATTTTTAGACCAGCTGACTTGCATTCAAACTTCCAGCTGATGGAAGCAGAGGATGACCCCTCTTTTCTGGCTAAATAAACCTAAGTGGAAACAAGACAGACATTATGTCAAAAACCTGTGATGATCAACACATATCTAATTAATTACTGTAATAATGATATTATAACAATATAGTGTACTTCCATTCTTTATTAAGCCTCTGAACATTTAAAACTGTTCATAGCACACTTTTGTATACACTCATTCTGAACCCTTAAATCTATTCCACAGTTATGTAATCGTACGTGATTCACAGCCTTTCACTAGGGACTTCACTAATCGATTTCAAAATGCTCATTAAAGCTTGACCCATGAAAATACCTACGCTCGTTATTCTTAAAAAGCAGACTTCTGGCTTTTATATAAATCTACAGGCCCACACACCCAGTTTCATTTTTGTTGCTCAGGATTGCTGATGAAGAAAACTGTAATGAGTATTTTATTCTTTAGATGTGGCTCCTGGCTGCACACCACTCCTAGAACTTCATGTCTTGGTTAAAGTAAATCATACATGCTGTCCACGTATACATCCTGTACTGGTATTATTTGAGCTGTTAGAGATTTGCATAATTTAATGTGTCCAACATTAAATACATTTTGAATATCACGTGGCTGAAGAGTCAGGCTCATACGTCAACATTTACTGAAGGGTTACTATGAATCCTCATAAGATTTTTGTAATATGTAGTACTTTCAACATGAGGCTACTTTCAAATCTGGTTCGCATAACAAACATTGCAGGTTAAAAGACTCAAACCAGCCACAATCCTTTTGGAATCCATAGTAACGAAACCGTTACCAAAATTCTGATATGTCTAGACTTGTGTTTAATGTCATACTGAGTGGATTTAGGCAGCTCTTTAGTTTTTAAAACTGGAAATAACCTGGAAACAACATAACCTGCTTTCATGTAAATACAATCTTACTGTTCATGAAAGTGCTCATCTCCACACATGTATTTTAAGTACTTCAACTACTTTTAGCATGAGATTTTCCTTGATCAGAACTCACTGAACCGTCATTGCCTGTAAGGGTGCCAAAACTCTCCATTCATTACTATGTGGATGAGATACATTAAACATAGGCTTTACGGATAAAAAACAACAAGTTAGTCTGGTTCATCTTCCATTGTTAATATCCAGGCATTTAACCAGAAACCAACAAGTTTCCATTTGTGCTTTTTTGACTCTCCTCTAACTTCTACACCTGGATAGTCTTTTTCCAGTATAGTTGGAAAAAAGCATGAATTCAGAAAATAACATTTCATTCAGATTCTCTTCCGCTTCTAGAAGACAAGCTTTTAAAAACCACGGATATCAGATCTTACAATGTTATCATCACCTATTGTGGGCTGCTTGTTTGAGCACTAGATGTCAAACTACCTCTAGGTAATCTTGCTACTGCCAGATTGACTATGATGATCAATTGATGCATGCCATCTCCGTCATTTTGCAAAGACACAGGAAAGACATAAGACACAACAGGCACTTCTTTTCTGTTACTCGTGGGCTAATGCCTACAGTTATATTTTTATACATACTTTCCATTCATCACATGCTAAATGGTAAATAAAATATTTTATGGTTGGTAAATTTATTGGACTGCTGCTGAATCAAACTCCAAATTTGTACCTACTAGATGTGCTTGAGAAGTTAAAAAAAACAACAAAACAACCACCAACATGCAAACCCCAAGCAACCCTTCCCTCTTCTACCTCCCATAATACAAACAACTCATAAGAAAAAATGTCATTTTAGATTCATACAAAACCATTCTACAGGACGCTATTCCTGTGAAACTAATATTCTAACCCAGAAGGCTGAGATATACCTACATCTATAGAGCTCCCATTTTTTCAAGGCCATTCTCTCATCCTTTATCCAGAAAGACTGAGGAGTTCTTGAACACAAGGGTAAAGTCTTTCTGTCTGGTCTTATAGACCAGCTCCTCTATTTTATCTGATTAGTAGAGTTGAGCGGAACAGCAGACTTATAATTGGTTTCACTGCAAAGACTGTTTCTTACAAAAGGAGGATGACTGATCATTGGAGACCTGAAGATATAATGTGCTACCAGATTTTTAGCAGATCTTAGGGAGGCAGAAAACAGATGCCCCTCATTCTGAGTTTTTGTTGCTTTCTTTTCCTATTAATCTACTCTTCTGTAACATCTTTTATATTATTCTCTATTTTTTCTTCTCTTTTAGGGATAATAACCTCTCTAAATTATTCTCTGATAGCATTTTGCAAGTCATTTATGTATAAACCCAGAACAGAAAATGTCAGAAGAGAATTATACACTTGCTCCATTTTTCATTACTGGGAAGCAAACCATTGCTTAAGCTGTAAGAATGTTTGGCCAGAGACCTTTCAGGCTAGTAGGATGACAGGGTAACAGAGCAATAACATGCTCTAGTCCCTGACAGGAAGGCTCAGTTCCACAGTTGGGAGCTGTCGCTGGAAAAGCTGTTTGCTGGTAAATGACCCTTTCCCATTCTACAGGCATCAATTCTCTTCTTCCTAGATTTAGAGCATATGATTCTTCTGCTGCTCAGTGTCCTGACAGATGGGAAGGAGCCTGGGCAGGGTATACAATAATCTGGTTAACTGACAGTTTTTTGCCTTCTTGCAGATGGAACCATAATGTTTAGGATGACAATTTCTTCCTTTGGCTGTGCATCACAGAGATATAATACACACTATAAAGCTATTCTCTATTCTCCTAAGCCAAAAAAAAAAAAAAAAAAAGGAAAAAAAAGCACCACACTTTTTTGGAGAGAAGGATTGCTTTTCAATAAAACAGCAATGCATCCTAAGTTTGCCCAAAAGCATATTAAGGAAAACAGTTTTTAAAATTTGGTGCTCTAGCAGGGATTCTACCTTTCTGAAAGGTGAGCTAAAATTATTCCCAATTTCTTAAATCATCTGGCAATCTTCTCTGAAGCTTAACAGTAATATTTACTAACATCAGTTAAACTTTATAGGCACCAAGAGAGGTTTTGATGTCAAACATGGGCAAAAATTTTCTGTTTTACTCACATTATCATACTTTCATGGTAGATTTAACACTTCTAATAAATGTTACCCTTACCATTTTCCAATCTGTTTCAACCTTTCTCCAAATAGACTCTGCCTTCCAAACACCAGCTTCCCAGCCAGTTATTTTTTCATTATTATTGGAAATCCGTATATAACTATCTTCCACTATATTGTAGGTGAGGTGGAAGAGTTTAGATGTCTTCTCTTTTTCAGAGGGAACAAAAATTACTTCTTTTCTCTTCTGAAAAAGGCAAAAAAAAAAAAAAAACACAAAAAAACATCAGCACATTCAATCCCCAGTGAATTTCGGTAAAACTATGTTACTTTTAATCAGTGTACCATGATTTCCCAATTCAGTTTTGCTGCCAATTGGGAAAATAAAATTTGAAAATAAAAAACACCTTAATTTTTAAACAGGTCACAGAACAAAAGCATTTCTGCAATAAATAAATAAATAAACAAACAAACAAACTACTTTCTGATAGACTTGCTTCTTTTAAAGAGAGGAACAATACTTTGTTGTTTTAATTTTTCACATAATTACTTTCAGAAGCAAACCGTTAACATAAAATAAGTAAATTTAAGGAAAGAGATTAACATGTTAAGAATAGAAATCTTGTATGTTGAGTATATTTCTAATTCTTTTATAATCAACAGGTAAATAGTTATTCTGAATGCCAAACGTGAGTCTGTGACTAACACATACAGGTGGCTTGTATATAATAACTTCAGAATCAACTTCAAGGAAAAGGTAAGCCACAAACTTTGTAACTTAACAGTATTACTTTATTATTATTATTATTTTTTAAGATTTTTCATTGTTCTTATGAGTTTCAGGAAAAAAATCAAATCTTTTAAGCTATAGAGAACTGAAATTCTTCGTTTCTGAAACTTAATGTTATGAAACCCATTAATCTCACCTAACCACCTCTATTTAGGATTGACAATCATTCCAGGTGACAGGATCACTACAAAATCAATGTTGTGAGTGATGGTTTAAGTCACATCTTTACATACCAGCTCAAGCTAAAAATGTCTCAAGTTCCAGGAAAATATCTTATCATAAAAGAATTCAAAATAAAGTCTTGCATTCTGAAATAGTTAAAAACGTTGATAAGAAAACCATTCAGCCTTATGTGAACGGAACAAGCTCTTAAATAAGCTCTTAATTGTTCCTGCACTGTTTTATTAACAAAAATAGTTGCTCAAAACCTGCTTCTAGTCTTTAACCAAAAGTACCTAATAATACAAGTACACAATTTAAAAAGTTTTCCCAACAGCTTCCAACTGCCTTAAAACTTCCTAGTTCTGTTGCATCATAAGTAATCAAAAGGAAAAAAAAATATTTTTAAATTAACTTTTAAGTACAAAACACACTTTCATGTGATTCAGTTACTGTCAAACATTTTTTGAATCAACAAACTACAGTAAGTCCTCAAAACTTTTTTGTGTGTCTCTACTGAACTCACAAACTGGCACCTAACACTTTTCCAAGTTCACTGTTTGAAAAAAATCTTCAGTCTACCTACCACTAACTCATGAAGCACTATTCCTCTTCAGACCATAGCCACACAACCTCTAAAGTTAGCTACCTCTAGGATGGTCACCAGTGGAAAAGTTAAATACCTCTGAACCAGCTTCACCTCTGGCTACTCGCCAAGCCATTGAACCTGATGTCCTTCCGCCAAATTCTCCTGGTTTAGGTGGTTTAGGAGAAATGAACTGAACAAGTTCCACGATTGTTCTTTGCAAGAGCTCACTTTTTCTGCTTTCTGCCAAGAATCGTTGTCTCTGAAAGACATTTAAGAAAAAAGTTAAAGGGTCAGAAAAAAAATCTATTTTTAATTCTTTCTAGACTGACACCAGCAGTAAAAAAAAAGAAAAAAAGAGTAACATTTAAATTTAGAATGACTGTTAGAAACATTAATTTTATTCCACATGTGCAAATATAAATCAGTCATAACTGTAGTTATTTGACAGTGCTGTTTAGGTGCTTTTTCTGTGAATTTTCATGCACTAACTGTGTGGATTTATTTTAAAATAAGATTTGTGCTATGTTTGTATTTGCTTGGATGGTAAAATACTTCCATAGCATATTTTTTAGTTATTCATATGCATTCTGTACCTTAGCTGTTCTTGATATTATCTGGGGAAAAAGAAAGCAAACGTAATTATTGGGTCAAACTTTTCTTCTCTAAGGCGGAGTGATATGGCTGGCAGCAGTCTTGGTTTTATGATTAAATCCAAACAAAAGATTCAGTTGGACCCTGAAAGAATTATTTCACAGTGACTGATTCTATCATAAATAAACTATGACACTCCTATTTTTGCAGATATCAGAAAACTGAGGGGGGAAAAAAAGTCATACTTCCAGGTAAATTAAGCAAACCTTAGAGGAGAAGAAAAAAAAAAACATATGACACACTCTTTGGCCACATGAATAAAACTAGGAGTATGTTTTTATATAGCATTAAGAAAAAATCATTAGCAGGCTGTGGTCTAGTCTCTACAATTTTCACATCAAACACAGAGATGAGTGGTAAAGCCTTTTTTCTTAGCCATGTAGAGTACACCTGTATAGGGATGGAAAGTTAAGTTCAAGACTGGGTATGTACACTGCTTTTTTTTTTTTCCCCCCACTTCTGTGATCAGACAAGGCATGCATACTTAGCCCATTAAGACCTGAAACTTCTGGCCAATAAACACTCCAGTCATCTAAAAAGCAGTCCTGAGCCCAGGAATTTTTGCTACTAGGAATCAGAAAACAGGCACTGGAAGGACCTTTGTTCCAGAAAACACTGTAAAACTGGAAAATCGAAAGTAGATATGGAGATATGATGAGAAATAACTTCAGTCGCATGAACTCCAGATGCTAGTTAGCAATTCTAACATAACAAGGAGGAAATATAACTCTGTAGTAATAAATGATGAGCAGTGACTCCAGCACTCCCCTGTGAAATACCAGGCCTTCCTGAGCCTGACACTTGCCTAGGCACCTGGGTATCCATAGGCAGCTCTACAGATGCACTCCAGCACAGAGGAATTTTGATATTGCTTATCCCTAGTTACTAATTCCACTCAACAGTCCTGTTTGAGCCACTTTGAGGGAAAGAATCCCATGGTTAGGGGTTATCACCACTGATGCTGGTGATACCACACTGAGAACTAGTTGCCCTTGCTTTGTATCTGTTGTAACAGTACCTGAAAAAGTTGTCAGAAGAACAGAGAGCTTGTGCATAAAAGGGGTGTTTCCAAAACCAGGCCTTTCATGTAGGAAACAAGAAATTAGGGAGTTCCTCAACTGTAGGGTACAAGTATGTGAATTCTTGTCCCTGCTCCCTCCCCTCACACCTCCCAACCCACTCTCGCATATAAATGCCAGTAGTAAGCTAAGATGTGTTAACACCTTGACTCTGCAGAGATCAACAGTGAACACAGTGGGAAAACCTGTTACTAAATTTCCTGTAAATTACATTGCTGTCAGTAGCATTGCTGCACTGAAACAGATTACAAGAACTCCATTATACACTGTCATGGCTTAAACTTCCTGCTTTTGTTTCTTCCTAAGGCATTATGCTCTACATGCACACCCAGACTCTGTCTTTCTTTGGCAGACAGATGCAAAAGGAAGGAAGGAAGGAAGAGGGGTTGTGAACTACAGCTTTAAAATAATTTCTGCATCACGTGCTGTTTGTGTTTCTTGAAGAACTGCATGCTTTTGGGAGACTGACTGATAAACTGCAATTTAAGTGGACCCACTGCTGGGTAAGCAACAGATAATCTGAGGATTGAAATTGAATGTCAAACCATTAACATGGATGCTTGCTCATCTCACATGAATCACCCCAAGATGGCTGCAGTTTTATCTCTTATTTATTGGATCTCCTTTTAAGAGCTGACCTGACTGTAGCAATAATCATTCACAATTACAAACAAAATTGATCCAGTTCTGGAGCAAATAAGATCATTTGTTTCCCTACCCCACCATCACTTTACAATGAAGGTAGTGGAAAGCTCTGAGGTCTCCCTCCTCTTTCTATACGTTAGGCAACATATGGACTAGATCCTGGCAGTGCCCATACAAAGAAGGCAAAGCAGAGTGTTGCAGTAAGATGCAATAGGTCCTATAGAATGACAGCAGGTGTTAGGTGATCAGCAGGCTGGCTACACACCCATTCAGGAGTGCCTGACCCAAACAAAATGCACAGTAATTCTGAGAAGCAAAATCATGTATTGAATAGATCGAACTAGCTATGCCCCTTTTCCATTTAAGGGTGACAGGCATACAACATCCTTTAAATTGGTGTGTCTCCACTTAGCCACTAAATAGAGACACACAGAGAAATAGCAATTAGAGCAGTTGCTCTTTACACAGGAAAGCAAAATATTGACCTCATAGAATGTCTTCACTGACAGCGCAGCAAAGGTGATGATGTGTACTGTACACTGTGCTTCTCCTCAGCTGTAACTTAGAGGAACTGAACTTCAAAGATGCTGTGTTGGAGCTCTGCACCAACAGGCACTGAGCATAGTCCTCCAAGTGAAGAGCCATGCTCCAGTTGATGATGGGAAAAGGGAAAGTTAGATGTCAGCCTCAACCTACATCAATCATCTGCTGAATAGGCTGCAGTGAAGGAAATGCAATGGAGACCTGGAGTAATGGAAACCTGCTCTAAGACATTCTGATGTTTCTAGCAGTGAGCTGCCTTAGTCATCTACTGACAGCAGATGCTACTGAATACCCCCTGGAGAGCCTCAACCAGCCATTTCTTAACAGCCCTGTGATTCCCACTGCATTGTCTCCTTAGTATGAACTTCAGGAAAGGCCCTTGGACTAGGACAAAGGTCAGTAACAAAAATTGCTCTTCAAGCTATCTCCTTACAACTGGCCTCTAGTCCCTGGAAAGCCAATTTCAACTATAACAGACAAAAGAATGGAGACTAAGAGCAGTTACTTACAGACACTAATTAAATTAACCCTGTCAAATATATCCTGAACAGCTACTGGGCAAAAGAAAGCATGGCAGGAGGAAGAGAATGAGTATAACTCAACTTGGAAAAAAGAGGGTAATTTATCAATCTCTTTTAAGGGCGTCTTATTTTGATAAAGGTGTTCTATTAGATCTATAAGGCAGATTTAATAATACTTAAAAGGGGTAGGGAAAGCTTGCAGGATAGAGAAGAAAGGTCTGGGATTTCCCACATGTAGAGAAAAGCCAGGGGTGTTTGGGAAGCACATGTATAACTTTCTTCCTTGTATTCAGTTTTTAATGAAAATTTCCTTTAAAACATGACCAGAGCGCCTGTTCTTTCTTGTCTGAAAAGTGCTCATGTCAGCTCATGAGCTGCACCTATAAAGAAGGTGGATAGAAGTAAGAATCAGACCAACACGCAGCACCATCTGTTGGAGATGGCAACACATTTTTTTACTGGAGTTCTCCATGCTTCTGTAAGTGAAACAAAGCACGATCTTACAGCAACATCACTGATATAAGCCAGCTCACGAGTCATTTATAGTTTTTCCTCATTCCATCAATATTGCCACAATATTTTTAATTTTCCTTCTTACTAATCCTCTATCAGTAGTACCACCTAATGCTCAGTCTTGAACCAGCACCCCATTTCCAAGATTTTCTTCAAGTGGTGGAGAGGAAGCTGGTGACTGATTGCTATCTCCAGTTGACCAGAATTAAAAGCCCCTCAGATCAGTTTTGTAGCAGCAAGGGCTGATCAGAGAACTTCACTAAATTCCTACAATCCTTCACAAAGCACATGCTTTCCTCAACTTGAATTTCTGATCCTTCACTTCATTTCGTTTTGTTAATTTGTGGCCAGCCTTGTCTGTGTTCTACTCTGCGTGTGACTGATTTTTTGTTACTGATGAAAGTTTTAAAGCTAGGACTTGAAATCACAAGTCCAGCTCAACTCTTCACAGCATGTGACTATAACCCTCAAGCCAGCAGGTCTCTAAAAAGGAATGTGTTTATTAAGCCATCTGCTTTACTCTGTTACAGGAACCAATGTTTCTGTGCAAAGAAATTAGCCCTAGAAGGAAGTGAGGACACAAACTTTAAGGGTGATTCAATGTTCTGTGGGATTCTAGTATACTGAGTCAAGAAAAGTTTATCCTGTACTAAGAAGGGACGGCAAAAAGTTTAGCAGAGAGATACTAAGTGCCCTCGGGTTCTGTGACTATGACATACAGGTGCAAATGGCCCCATGTGCTGGTTTGGGTACATTAATGATTGGTACATGTGGCTCTGAGCCAGAATTCTACTGATGTTATCAACACTTTTTGAAACTCTAGGAAAGAACCTGTGAATCATTCCCCCCCTCACAACTTTCTAGGCACTGTAAAAAAAAAAAAAAAAGTAATGGAAAACAAATTAGGCCTACATTTTCTGTTAACTGTAAATACTATTGTTTCCAAGTTATAGCATTTTTGAAGGCAACTGCCTTTAAAGAGTCCATGTAGTTACAAAGCAGTTGTAGTTTGTTACTGTATCTGTTGATGAATAAATGTACTTAAAATCTGTTAAGGAAAAAAATAAACATACACACAATATGTATCAATATGTATTTTATCTACATAGACACCTTTATCCCTGACAATGTAAAACACACGTACCATTCTTTATCTTATTTCAAATAAGCTCAACACTGAAAAACTTAAGTACCTCGTGCAAAATGAGTTCCTTACAATTAGCGACGTTTTACTTTCCATAAAGCAGGGACATTTCCATGAGGTTACAAAACACATTCATTTGTTCAAAGACTTCATATTCAAGGAAAACACTTATGTTTCACTTAAAGAAACCTATTTAAGAAAAATTACATACCTTTCTATTGAATGTGTTAATTGTTTCACGTAGTGTAGCTTCACCAAGCACTGTCCTTCTAGTGAGTACTTCTTTATGCTTACAGCTGTATCTCCAGGTGACATCAACAACCTCAAGCACAAATTAAAGAAGAAAATAAAGCAAACAAGATTCCCATATGTCTGGCTTTAAAATAAAGAGGCTAGCTAGTAGAAGTATGTTTTTCCCTAATAATTCTGGAAATCACATTACTTCACACGCTTGCCTCAGGGTACACTTTTTTTTTTTTTAAAGCATCACTATTCCTACCTCATCTTTGGAAAATGCGATTACATAGGAGAGCTTCTTTCCCCACCCAGTTTCATAGAGAAGAGGTTTATCACAGGCATTTTCACAGGGATCACAGTGAAGCCACCTTTTCTGAGATGAAGAATATACTTCAGTCCATACATGATCTACATGAGAAAGGCAGAAAGTAAACAATGAATAATAGGGATAGATTCTCTCTACTAATAACACAGAATACTATCATAGGATCATGTTCCCTTTGATTCGACAAAAGATTATCACTGAAATCAGGCATCTAACCTTACCTGCAGAACTGTATTTCATCTCTCACGCATGAGAAGAAACAGAATTTATATTTTGTTAGCTGGACTGAATAACTTTACATGGTGCCTATGGGCTAATATAACCTCAGAACCATAAAATAACCTCGTTTTGAATTATTTGTATTAATACATTCTGTAATACTGTTACCTGTATAGTCCCAGACATATCTGGCTTCAAACCCTACAGCTCTGCAGCACAGTGTAAAACAGTTAGCCCACTCGCCACAGCGTCCACATCTGGTTTCCAGAAGTTTCTCAGGATTATTATACCTAGAGGAGGAAAAAAAAAAACGAATAATTGAAAACACATTTCACCTTTCAAAATTTTTACATCATGACTGCCTATCTACCTAATCTTAAAGATACATTGCTGTTTCACCAACCATCCTATGATGTTGCTTAAAAAGGCCTCTCTAATCTTTCATGTAACAACACTTGTTCACAAAACGAACAAATGTATAGCTGTTTTGTGAAAGGCAAGAAAAAAAACAAAGCAAATCTTTGTATGCTCACCTTGGGAATCTATTACAGAACTGACACTGGTTACAGTAATGATTTTCCACTCGACTAGCGTTCCACCTTAGATCATCATCAGTCGGTGTCAGCTTGTCACTTTTCTGTTCTGTTTGCCCACCACACCTGCTGCAAGGAACACTATTTACCCAATGAAAAAAGTCATTCTTAAACCAGTTCAAGAGCTCCAACAGCAAGAAGTCGTCTTCATTCACATGTGCACCTGTAAAATTTACACAACACGGTTTGATCAAATAGCAAAACAATAATTTAGCTAACTTTCCAGTATCTACCTAGATCACTGTCTTCTGGTGTCTTATTACATTTTAGAGATCTCATAAAATGAAGGTTCATGTGTTGCTTAAAAACACTAAAAAGAAAAATCTAAGTTCTGAAGACTAAGTAACGGCAAACTATATTTAAAAAAAAAAATGCACTACTGAACACTACAGCTCGAGTAAGAATTAGGAAATTCTCAGAAAAACACATTAGATATACAGTGAAGCCAGGTGAACTTCCCTCATTCCCCTCATTCTTCTAGGACTATGGAAGAGATAGTATACAAACTATTTTTTTGCTCCTAAACATTCTTCTCCCGTTCTTTGGTATTACACTAGGAGTAATTAGGAGCTATGTAAACAAAGATGAGTTTGCTTATGACTTCAGCAAATATTAGCTTTGTCAGCTTACTCAACGTGACACAGGAAGTCACTATTTTTCTACTCTGATTCTGCCACATTAATACACACTAAACTTCTGACCTTTTGTCCTATGTTCACAACAGGTATGTTCCCATGTATAGATGTTGTACTGTTGCTATTCCACCATTTAGAAATAGCCTCACTTCACCTAACAAATTATTAAATCCACTCTTCTAATAGAGATCCATCCCTTCTAACTCCTTTATAGGCTTTAAACGTATGTTCTGCTCCAATGCCCACGGGGATTCTCCTCCTCAGATTCATAAACAATAAAGTAAGTCTTCCTATTAACTCCACCATGCAGGCCACACTGCAGTCATCAGTATCTAATACCTGGTTATTTTATGACTGTAGTTTGCTTATAGTCACAATGCAGACAGGTCTGACTTATGAAAATATGAATATATAAAAAAACCCAAAAACTATGAATGATGTTTAAGAGGAAGTTTGAGCAAATCTGTGCACTAGCTTCTTCAGGATGGTAAGGAAGGAATAGATGAAGATGTATATTTAATTCATCTAGAGATGAATTCACACCTTCCTCTAAAATTCTTTGTCTGGTATGGAAGACCAGGGGCCCCTATTAAACACACACTGCCAAGAACATGAAGAGCATTAGAGAAGATAACCTGTTAATCAAAGCAGGAAAACCTGAGACTTCAGACTGACTTATAATTACACAACAATGGAAATTTTAATGCATTGCATGTGCAGAACATCTGTGCTGAAACATTCTGACAAAGTGTTATTGCTTACAAAATGAACATGCTCATGCATTCGAACCTCCTGACAAGAACAGAATTCTGAACACTGGCTATGGTCTTTTTTTGGACAACACATAAACCAGAGTCTGTCTATGAAAACGTAACTGGTATCATATGAACGTTCTTCTTTTGGTTTGTAAAATAGGCCCTGCAAGCAAACATCGCATGGAAAGAATGACAAACGTGATCTATTTGAACAAAAAACAGCTGGTTGTAACATGCAGCTATTTTCAACTGCAAAAGCCATCTTTCTAATGGAAAGTGGTAAAGGAAAAGAGTCAAAATTGTGTTTCTGCTCAAACAATCTTCCTAACAGTCTCCTATAATGCCTGGTAGGGAAAGTCCTAAGAACAAGTGTCACTTACCATCAAACAGTTGTTCCCACAGGTGACCGCCTTAATATAGTAACAAACCAAAGACACTGAAAGGGCTAATTAGCCATGTATCTCCTACATAGTCCATTTCCAAAGGAACATTTCTATAAGGCTCTAAAAAAATGCTTTCAAACTGTCACAACCCAGTGATTTTCTCCTCTGCATCTAGATTAAGCCCTGGAAGCCATTTTGAATTGATCAGCTCAATGGCTTGGGAAGAAGCATCTGTACACATCACCCTCCTTCCTTCCTTGCTTTGGCACCAGGGTGCACAAGAGAACAGAAGCAGGGTCTAAGACATACATTTGTCCTTTTTATTTATTTATTTTGTAAAGAATTTAAATCATTTTTTATTTCTTACTGCTAAGTCTTTTTACCATTGCATCGTACTAGATTGTGATAAGAATGCTTTATACTTGCTTATGTGGTGTACTACTTCCTCTTGTAGCTTTATAAAAAAAAAATGAAAAATTACTATGAAATTCATTCTCAAAAGTTCACTTATGCCAAAGGTGCAATTAAAGGTTCACATGGCTGTATGAAACACCTCAGTCATTTAGAAAAATGATAAGAGCAGCTTATTTCTGGTTTGTAATCAACAGCATCCCCATCAAGCAAGCTGAATTGTTCCAAAATCTTCTGTCAAAGATTCACAAGAAAAAGGATTTTATTTTTTTTTTTAAATCTAAATATGGTTTTGGAATCCTATTTAAAAATATATATATCTTGCATAATTTCACTATATTGATGAAATAATCTAAAACTCTTAGTTAGAAACAATGCTTTTTCGACAGACAAAGTCTTAGTGAATTCAGAAGAAATTTGTATTTATTAGAAAAACACATATTTGTAGCATCAGTGCCTAAGATTTATGCTTATGCTTCAATTCTTGCTCCAAGAGGGGATGCATTTGAACAATGTTATTCATTTAAGCATTTGCAAGAATGATGATTCTTTGTATGAAGTTGTGCTTTGGAAAGGCCATATGCAAAAATCTCTCCGATAACATTATTAACAAACGTGACATTTTGCGTTTTTTTCCTGAATTTGGAATTGTAGTACAGACAGGAAAACTAAGCTCTGACAATTTCAAAACAATGATGATAAAGAAAAAACAAATTCCCTTCCCTCTTGTAGTTAGTTCACTCTAGATGTAAGGATTATAACAGTAAATGCTCACTCAATTTGTCTCCTTAGCACTGTTTGCTGCTAATTTGGAAATAAAGAATTCAGAATTTGTACGTGAAAGCAAGTAATGGATGGATGGATAGGCACAAATGAAATAGAAAAATGAAGTGTTTTTAGATAGAGAAAAAAGAAAGAAGTGAAAAATAGTAATGAAGTGAAAATCAGTAATGATTTTCAAGTTTTCAGTGAAGATGGCTTTTCTAACTTAGAAACAGCATCTGGAATTTGCAGACATCTGACCAAATCCATATCCCTGAAGCACCCAAATGTTTGAAAGAATATTTCTGGTTTCATACACATTGCAACTTGGTGACATTACCTTTGTCCAGTCTTGTAGCTTGTGCTAACTTTTTCTGAGCCTTCCCTTTCAATTGCTGGAGGGGAATTGAAGCTAGTGCTTTCTGCTGAAGAGAAGGATCCTCATACACTAACACATGCTCAAAGTTGCTTTGAAGTACTTTCAACATATTTGCAGCCTGCAAAAGGATTTTCAGTCATAAAATGGCTTATGAACTTCCATCTCAAACCAAAAGAACCAAGCTCCCCTATTTTAGGGGTCACAATTCCATACTCACAAGTCACATTATTTACTTTTTAACAGCATAAATTTGTGCAGATATCAAAAATTGCAACAAACACCACCACCCAAGCCATAAAGCCAACTTGTCATCTCTGAGCACTCTGATTAGTATCCTTCATAAAAAGTGTATTGACTCAAGGAGAGGAGGAATTTTAAAAGACACCTCTGCTAACAAAGTTTTTGACTTTTTTTTTTTTACCCGATTCTTTTTTTCTCCTTCTGGACACCTTCTACCTGAAATCTACAAAAGAATCTGTAATTCATTCAGTTTCCTGGACACTACTACACCACCTGAACCAGTTCACAGGACTCTATTATTCATGAACACTGCTCGTCTATTTTTACTTCCTCTCAGATCAACTCTGATCCAGTTTTGAACATAGAACCCCGTGACCATATTTCACTAGAAACCAAAATACATGAACTGGGCTTCCTCACTCTGTTATCCTAAGTGTCACTTAGTGGCATGTGCCTGGGTGTATCTTTGAGTGCAACATATCTAAAAAGTTAGCTAGCTAAGTTACTAAGTAGTTAACAAGATACTTAATTCCCTTTTAAAGGGGATAACACAGAAAACTAAATGGAACATTAAAAATCAAGAGTCTGACATGCACAAGGAGGAGCCTGTAATACTGCTGAGTCTCCTTTTATCCAGCAATAGATCATGCTTCAGTCTTTAGCCTGGTTAACTCACATCTCTCTCCTGCTCTTAATCACCATATGATCCAGGAAGGGATCACAATCCATCCACTATAGTAGTAACTAGCCAGAGCTTTCCTTGCTCCTGAAGTCAAGAATGTCTCACGGTAACAAATGCAGAAGAGCCAAAGACAAAGGAAAAAAAACAATGTGTTAGACCCCTAGAACAGTGCTATTTAGGATTATTCCTGTGCTGGATCTATTTTCCTGTTTGCACCTGTGATTCATGAGAGTCTTGGTAAGCAACACACTTGCAAGAAATAAAACTGCTCACACTATAAAAACCATTCTAAATCCCTCTGACATCTGACAGCAGTGCATACAGAAATAATATGGGTGCTTACTGAGAAACAAACACCTATTCCTGTGCAAACTAAGTGGCCAAGTCATAGCCAGAAGGCACTTTATGGACTTCCTTCTAATCAACACAGACTATATAAACTGAATTTAACAGGTTCAGAGAGCTGTTAGTGTAACTCCCCGAAGAGATTAACAGAAATACAGAGTTCTAATAGAGCTGCTTCTAAACTGGTTTGGTCTCGTCACCCACCCATGTTGAATCTCAAGAAGCCTAGAGAAACGTACGGACCAGTACTTCAGCAAGTGAAGTTTCACAGTCCCTTCCAACCACCACCACAGAAGCGGCTGAAACAGTAAAATGCAGTAAGCAGACAAGCCAATACTAAAATAAACCCAGGCATTGCATCTATTCACTTGAACCCATGCTGTGCCATTTTTCTGCCTTGAATAGATATTGAAAAGAAACAGCACAACAGTTCAACATCCAACAATATATTGCTCATATCATTTAAAAAGAGACAAAGTCTGCTGAAGGATGTATAAGAAGCACGCTTTTGGAAGGATCCATCTTGCACCAAGTTATTTTAAACCAAACCCACAATGGTTGTAAAGGAGAAAATTCTTCAGGGTTGAGCCAAAGAATCCTTCAATCTTATATCCAACAGTACAACTGCTTCATTTTCCAGAGTAATATGAGGTCTTAAGACTCTTCTCCCATCAGGCCAAGCAACATCAGCTGAAATGAGGACTCTGCCCCTCTTTCTCTTGGCCAGGAACTTCATCTCAAACTCTTGCACAAGGGAAACAGCTTAACTATATATTTGTATTTGCCTGGCCTAATTATTGTCTCTCAAAACAGTTGTGCATGAATATAGAGAGCCCTCACAGGCCACGCATACAGGTCATGACACATGAATTGAGACATCAACAATTATAAACATATTAGTCTTGGTCTCCAGTTCCTTTGTTGGTTATCAGACGACTAGCAAACATAGCATACAACCTTGTCTTAGCTTCCTTCCCCCTGCCTCTGTGCTCTCCCACATTACTCCCTTCCAATACAAAATGTTTTCATTTTGCTTTTTTTTGTCACACCCTGCTCAATAAGATGCATATCTGTGGACATCTTCAACAAAATCTCTTGCTAATATTCAACTTGAAATGTGATATAAATAGAAGTTGGATAGAGACTGAAGAAAACATTCAAAACCAACAAAATGCCACTAATCCAATCCTCTGCTCAGTGCAGAGTTAGCTATGAGGTCAGACCAAATTGCTCAGGGCTTTATCCAGTCAGATCTTGAAAACTTCCAAGTTTGCAGACTACACAACCTGAGCAATCTGTTCCAACAGCTGACTTCTTCAATCATTATATTCAGAATTCGTGTTCCTAGAAAGCTTTTAGGCAGTAATTACCATTTCAAGAGATTGCACAAGTGATGTTTCCAGCCGCTGCTGGGCAGGGGCGCGAACAGGGTCAGCAGGTCTTGAAAGCTGATGTGCAGCTGCCTGAGTGCTGGCTACAGCTTCAGAGGATCCTGGTCTGTGGATCTGATTCGACTCATTCAGTCTGCTACTCCTCTCTCCAGCAATTAGATCTCTGATTTTACGTAGCTGCTCAATCGATGCTTCCTTAGGGAATATCAGGTGAGTTTCTCCCTAAAATTTAGGAAAATTAATTCAGCAATTAACATAGGTCTAAGCTAGTCGCTGGTTTATATTTGCTCTTGCTAACAGCTGTATCAATAACTGGAAGTTAGCCTAAGGTTTGGCAGGATTTGGCGTTCAGATTAGGTTCCTTACACGAAAAACTTGTAGATCCCCCACAGCTGAAGCTATTAGATAAGTAACTACAGTCAGTCTAGAGAAAAGCTCTCATAATAACACAATTTTGTGAGCAACTTATTTTGCAGAGTCATACATGAACAATGCAATTATTGTTTAGCAGAGCAAGCAGCAGCAACAGAAATGAAAAACAAATGCAGTTCTTGCAGGACAGCAGTGAAACACAAGGCAACACAGTAGGATAGCCAATGTTTGGAGAAGCCCCTAGAACAGCATCCACTGTAATTATCTTCTACACTGGCATCTTTTAGCTTTTGTAATTTTTTCAGATGAGAAGCGTTCTTCTTATTTAGATCTGTACCCAGCTTGATTTTTGGGCTCCTATCTTTGATTGCAGCATGATTACTGGTGACAATCCAGTAACAGCAGATCAGTAATTAGGACAGAATCAGCTGCAATGCACTTAACATGAAGAAATACATTACTAAAAACATGAATACCCTGAAATGTTCATAGTTTAAAAGTTTCAGTTTTCAGTGCTTCTATTCATCAAACCAAGTAACGTGTTTATCTGCACCACTACCTTAGGTCACCTGCCATTGCAGATAAAGTACTTGACTAATTCTTATGATTACAAGATCGAACGAAATATACCAATTCAGAAGAGTCCTCTTTTTTAAATGAGTAATTTAGCTTGCTAGGCAGACAAAATAATGAACATTTTAGCTATCGGTCAAAGAGACGTTTGTGAACTTCAGCCTCAATTGGCACAATAACCAGAAGCCTGAACCGCGATGCTCTTAATGATTGGACAGAAGTGGGAGTAGCATTTTATGACACATTTAAAACGCCTATCTTATTGTTGCTTGAGTGCTTCACTAGCTCCATGGACTACCTCTTGGCTAAAACACATCATTAAAAGCCATCTCCTGAATGCCAGTAGAGAAATAAATCCACAGACCCATTTCTCTTCTCTGTAGTCACCATCTCCTTCAGCATACAATTTATTTATTTATTAACTTTAAGACAAATAATTGACTTCACCAGTACAGAAGGCAGAGGTCTCACAACAGCCGGACCCAAACAATGTCAATTTCATGCCGTGGTTATGTATGCATGCAGACAAAACAAAGCAAAGCTAGAGCAGTATCTTTGCACCATTAAGCGAGAGCTGTTTTTTCACCCCTGCACTCCTGTAACTACAAAGGTCGCTTCTAGCTCAACAAGCTTTGGAGTTAAAATATACTGAGACAGGGACTATTTCAGCATGTGAAGCAATCTTTGAAATGCATTTTTTATGAAGCAACAGAATCAAGATTCACTCGAGCCTATTTTAGGATGTAGTTTCATAACTACTTGAGTTCTAACTGCGTTAAGTCCCACCCTGCCACTACTTCAATAGTCTGTTGCCCTCCACTGCCGTCATGACAACGCTAGTACTTGTGCGGATGCACTGTGAATTGGCTAAAAATGTATTTCCTTAAAATAACAAAAGAAGAACTTTCAGTCTCACTGTTAGATAAGCCCTGCTGGTGGTGGGAACAAGCAGCAGAAAAGCGATTGGTTTTTTCATCCTGATGACAGTTTCAGTATGTAAGTTTATAGTATGGAAACTACAGCCTGAGGGTACGGCTTGTTGTCCATGTAATAGGTGGTTGTAACTAGAATAGGGGGTTTTCCCTTCAATTCCCACCATGTGTATATATATATGACAATTAAGTGAACTAATAGGGTACCTGAGCATCAGAAAACCAATCTCACGCAGATTAGTTTAGTTCTCACCCCATCAGGATTTCTGAAGTAGCCTCACCGAAGTTTTCTGTTGGTTAACCACTGGTCTTTGTGAACAAGGCTTGAAATTAAACTAAGAAAATAGCAATTGGCTTAAAAACTAGTGCCTTGCAACTGAGAGAGAGGAAGGTATACAGTTTTAAATTTTAGCACGTAAACCAATTAAAACATTAGAAGCGACTGGATTATACTCACCTCTTGAAACCCCATTTCAAACAAACATTCAACTGCTCCTCTGACAGGCAACAGCCTCGTGGAAAACGCTGGATTTCCAATCCGAATTAACCTGTATTTCTCTTCGGCAGGATTCCTGAAGAAATCGAAAGCTTTAATTACCTTTGCAAACTAAGTAAACGCCAAGCAGCCGGGTAACCGCACCACGCAGCACACCCACAGCCCACCCACACACAAACAACCCCCAGCCCAGCGCCTCCTTTTGGCCGTTTCACCCCCAAAACCAGCCGTGCCCCCCCGCCTCACCGCAGGATGTTGTCCGCGTAGGCCAGCAGCAGCCTCGAGGCCTCCAGGAAGGTGTCGCGGCCGTTCTGGCACAGCTCGCTCACGGCGGCCGAGCCGGCCGAGGAAGCGCGGCCCACCGCGGCCGCCATCGCTCTCCCCCCTCCCGTCCCCACCGCCCCCTTGGAGGCAGCACGCATGCGCAGCGGGGCGGTGAGGCCGCTGCCCTCAGGCCCTGCCCAGCGCCCCGCTGGTGGGAGGGGGGGCGGAAACTGAGCAGACGCCTGATTCTTCAGCAAAATGACAGAAATATTGATTTTTTTCTTCATTAAATTGCACTTTCTCCTTCCCTTCTTTTTGTCTTCTTCGTTATTTTTTTTATTATTTTATTTTTAATTTTTTTTCCTGCAGCAGGTTCCTCAGGTCTGTGTTGACGTGGCTTTGGCACACGCGTTGTGCTCTGCCACGACAGTTCCTCCGCTTCATGTATTTGATATATGGCACCGCATTTTTTTTCATACGTAAAAACTTATTTTTTCCTACGTTTCCTGTCAGGCACAGCTGGAGCTTGGAGCTTGGTCTCAGTCCAGGTCATGCCCTGCTATTCCAGCATCCAGAAGGAGCAACTAAACTTTATTTTTGCGTGCATTGGTGCTGTTGGCCTCTTTGTACGTGTTTTCAAATGACTCCTGTAAAGCCAGTTACCAACTTGCTTTGGTTTACCTCTTACTGCCCTTTTTGACACCATTTCAGCATGTGTGTGGAGAAACAAACTTTCTTCCAGCTGGAGCTGGGAGCTTGGTGAAGGACAGGGATCTGAGAGGTGCACACAGCACCTCTCAGGTGGGGACTCAGAGAGGGCCTGGGGAACAAAGTGCAGGTCAGAAACCTCCACTAAGCTGGATGAATCACAGAAGCATTCAGGTTGGAAAAGCCCTCCAAAATCTTCTGGTCCAACCACCCCATTACCACCAATGTCACCACTAACCCATGTCCCCAAGCACCAGGTCCAACCTTTCCTTGAGCACCCCCAGGGACGGTGACTCCACCACTCCCTGCGCAACCCGTCCTGGTGCCTGGCTGCTCTCTCTGAGCAGAAATGTCTCTTAATTTCCAACCTGAACCTCCCCTGGCACAACTCGAGGCCATTCCCTCTAGTCCTATCGCTGGTTATTTGAGAGAAAGGGCTGAACCCCAGCTCCCCACAGCTTCCCTTCAGGTAGCCGCAGAGAGTAATGAGGTCTCCCCTGAGCCTCCTCTCCCCCAGTCCAAACACCCCCAGCTCCCTCAGCCGCCCCTCACAGCACTTGTGCTCCACACCCCCCACCACCACCTCCTCCCCTCTGTTCTCCCCCGAGTGGTACGGCCCGGGGCCGGCGGGGCGGGAGGACGAGGCGGAGCCAACCACTGCGGGGCGGCGGCGGGGGGGGGCGGAGCGCGTCCGGCGGAGGTAGGGGCGGCGGGCCTGGGGGGGGGGCGGGAGCGGCGGCCCCTAGCGGCGCTGCCAGGGGAGGTCTGAGGGGGCCCCAGGAGCCCCTGTGGTGTCCATAGTCCGCGGGCTCTATGCGTGGCCGCAGATAATTTGGCCTGGCTGGGGTCAAATCAGTCGTTGTCGTTATGTCACGCTGCCTGAGTGCCTCCTGATAGCAGCTGTGTGACCCTGCCAGCTGTCTCTGCTCCTTTTATTCAGCCCAGGCTGACTGGCTAAATGTAGTTAAAAACGACGCATTCGGACCATGGTTTAAAGCAGTCTCCTTTAAAACCCCCGTGTACATTTGTAACCACTATTTTTAGCTTTATACTTAATAGTAATGCTCCTTATATTTCACCACATATCTGGGGATGCTGCATTGCCCCTTTGATGAGGCAAAAAACACGTGGCTGTTGCCAAAAAACAGCCAAAAACACTTCTAACTGTTGAGCCTGTGGCTTCTGAAACAGTGTTTTGGCTGAAGACAAACTCTAGTAATTATTTTTACAAGGGTCTAGTCACCCTTGGTGGAGGCAGAGGTGAGAAGAGCTCTGAAACAGGGAAACTTCCCCTCCTGTGTGTGTTTTAACTTCTTGCTTTTTTAAGCACACAGACTCTCCCAGCTGCAGAAGACCGGAAGAAAAAAAAAAAAAAGTTAATTTCTCCCTCATCAAATGGGCTGAAAAATGCCTACCGAGTTAAAATTTGCATCGGCAGCATATTCAGAGCTATTGAAGCCTGTAATTGTAGATGTGCACAGAGCTGTGCTGTGGCCCCCCTCCTGCTCCCATGTGCCAGATGTATGTAATCAGACCAGTTCCTCATCTAGCTGGGGCCAGACAAGGCACGAGAGACCGGGTCTGTGGCACAGCACTACAGCTTTACTGCTCGGTGTGCTCCTCTTGCCAGAGATGGCCTGCCTGAAGTATTTCTGCTGTCACTTGACATATTTCATGATATGTGAAGTCTCGTGGTGTTATGTTCAAGGGAGCTGGGAAACCTGCAGGCTGTGTGCTTCGTGGCTGCTGGCCAACAATCAAACAGTTCAAAGCCAGATCTCAGAGTAACATGTAAGCGCTAGACACGTTATTGGAAAAACTGTTCTGTCAGGAGAGTGTTTAGTACATCACTTATTTTTATAGTGTTTTTTTTCTCTTTGATCATAAACATCACAATATAGAAATGTTAGTCTGCACATAAGTGAAAAAAGATTGCAATCCAAAATGCTTTTTTTTGGTTCAATTTGCAGCTCTTTCAAGATGCTGTTGTGTAAATCCTGTTCAAACACACTCAAGGTACTGTCCCTACCCATCAGAACTGACCGAGTAAATACCCCAAGGCTGATGAAGCATAGGTGGAGATAGGAAGGTGAGGACACTTCTCCAAGATACTTAGTTGCACTAGTGGCAGCACCAAGAAAAGACTCTTGACTCCTGTTACCTAGTTTTCTAGAGCATCCTGCCTGGTTAAGATGATGGCATCCTTAACATGATAGGGCTAGACATACACTTGCAATTCTCCATCAGAAGAATGAAGATCTTCATGCTCATTGTTGGTATCTCCAGTCAGCTGGGGGTGAATGCCCTAGGGGGAGCTACCAGTGAGTGCTTTACAGCCCACAGCGGTAACATACTATTCCTGATGACAGACATAGAAACTACATACCTTTCTGCAGTGCTGAAAATAGTATTTAATGTAAAAAATTCCACTTGGCAAATGTGGAATGTTTCTCACATTGGCTGCTTTGTTTTTTTTTGTGTCTTTTTGCCCCCCCAGTTACAGGAATGTGCATGAATTGATTGATTTCCACCATGTTCTCGCAGTGTTCCCAGGATCTCTTAAAGATTGCAAATCTGCATCTCCGCGGTCTGAATTTGAATCTGCATTTAAGAAATCACAGGAGAGCTTTCAGCAAGTCACTGCCTGCTTGTCGAAGGAAAGTAGTTGTTACAGGTATCGGCTTAGTGTCTCCCCTCGGTGTGGGGACTGAGCTTGTGTGGAAGCGCCTTCTCCAAGGAGACACTGGGATCACGTCGCTTGATGGGGAAGAATATGCAGGCATTCCATGTAGAGTGGCTGCCTGTGTGCCACGGGGAGACGAGGAGGGTCAGTTCAAAGAAGAGAGCTTTGTGTCGAAGTCAGAGATCAAATCCATGAGTTCTGCTACTGTCATGGCCATTGGTGCAGCAGAGCTAGCAATAAGGGACTCCGGCTGGTCTCCGCAGTCTGAACAGGACCGCTTAACAGCTGGTGTGGCAATTGGAATGGGAATGGTTCCGCTGGAAGAGATTTCTGATACAGCCGCTTTATTTAAAACAAAGGGTTATAACAAGGTCAGCCCGTTCTTTGTCCCAAAGATCTTAGTCAATATGGCAGCAGGGCAGATCAGCATTAAATACCAGCTGAAGGGGCCGAATCACGCTGTGTCAACTGCCTGCACCACTGGCGCACATGCTGTTGGAGACTCCTTTCGATTTATTGCCTCTGGAGATGCTGATGTCATGTTGGCTGGAGGGACTGAGGCTTGCATTAGTCCTTTGTCCTTGGCTGGATTTGCAAGAGCTCGGGCCCTCAGCACTAGTTTTAACTCAAGCCCTAAAATGGCATGTCGGCCGTTTGATTCACAGAGAGAAGGGTTTATAATGGGTGAGGGTGCTGCTGTGCTGCTCTTGGAAGAGTATGAACACGCTGTGCAAAGAGGTGCTAGGATCTACGCAGAAGTTCTGGGTTATGGACTGTCGGGCGATGCTTGCCACATAACAGCACCTAATCCAGAGGGAGATGGTGCGTTCAGGTAAGAACCCTATGCTGATTACTGTGGCTACTTCATGTGTTAATTATAATGGGCACGTATGTTTCTGTTACTTTATACTTTTCCTAGAGAAATGCTATTCAGTCTTGAATTAGTATTCCAAGAGCTCCTGGTAAGGTCTTGCCCCAGTTTTCCTTTGATTTTAGTAATGGCCTGAAGGGCAGTTCTTGCCAGAATTAGCCTTTTTGGATGGCGTTATGAAAACCTCCTCTGTGTGAAAATATTTTATGTTTGCTCCTATAGCTGTTAACAGAAATGAGTCTCTTGTTTAAGGTTGTTGTGTTATGACGGCCTTTTGAGATATTCCCTCACCCTTTGTCACAGAGAGACCCTACTGCAAAAGCAGGTCCTGACATTTCTTACGTTATGGAAGGGGAATGGCATTCCTTAGGAAATGCCAAGTGATAAGAGCACTCGGAGAATCCAGTTTATTAGAATAATTACTGTAAATGTCATTAGCATTAATTGTGACTATTGTTGTTCAGAAGAGACTCTGGCTTTTTGTAAAGAATATATTTAGGCCATACGTCTCTGCTACAATCACGTTTAAATACTTCTCAGTGATGTAGCTAACTGCTGGTGGACGAGTATAGCAGAAATACACTTTAGTACACTTTGGTAAGATGGTAAAGTTGTTAATTTCATTAAAAAAAAAAGTTCACAAGTAGATGGTATTCATCCAATCTTTATCCCTGAGCTAATTATCGGTTAAGTTGGATGTGTATGTGCTGTTTGTGAGCTTTGTATAGGCCAAATGCTATTGCAGATACAGGAATCTCTGCTAGTTGGCATTACCATGAATGTATGTGAATATTTAATAACAAAATTCAATACATCACTCTGCAAGTAGTTCAGATTTCTACACATTCCCCTAAAGGTATGTTTCCAACTTTATTGAATTAATA